TCATATAAATTATATATATAATGTAAAGGTACACATATAAGTGCACACAATAATAAGGTACACAATGACGTAAAGATTAAAATCATAAGAGTTTGACTTTTTATGATCTATCGTCATTTCACGATAATAAAGTATGTAAAATGATATACAAATGTATATGATATACTATTTATTATTGTGAGGATTTGTTAATAATTAATAAATTATATCATAATGTTACAATATCAATGTGCTTATTTAATGCTCTATCATAATTCATATATTGTATTACTTATCTTATTAAATACTTTATTAGTGTTTTATATTATAAATCATTATAAAAAGTACAAAATATATTATCGATAATTTTACTCACTAGAAATATAATAAATATAGATTTATTAAATCTAATTCTAATAACTCTTATAACTTAAATTTTACTAACATATAGAAAAATATTGTGTAATCTTATAAAATACAAAGTTAAACACTGATTTATCTGTCCACTGTTTTTATACTATATATACTATTTTATAAGTAAATAAATATTTAATTGTAAATTAATAGTTCTAAATTTTTAATAAAAATTATTTCTTTCTTTAATATATACATTATCATATATAACTTTTCTATTTATTTAGGATATATCATAAGTAACAACCAGAAAGACTAAAAGAAAGAAGTGTTGAAATTGCAATCCACATCGCTTCGTAATATCACAATTTAATAATGTCTACGTCAGCAATTAAATCACGCAAGCACAAATTGATCAGCTTTAGTGTCCTCTGATCTATATGCATTAATGTCATCTCAAATCGATCCCTGTAAAGAGAGAGAGAGAGACTTTCAAACACTTGTTTCTTATTTACAATTAAATATTACTAAATTTTCGCCCACTCGAATAAAACATCCAAAATCTATGTTCTAATTAGAAACAAATCATTATATTTTTGTGCTATTATTCCAAAAAAATTTTATATTTTTCTCACCTGACGGAATTATCTGTTATACATTTTCACAATTGTACAAAAGTTTTACTGAAAAGTTTTGAGTTCGTGTCTACACACACGAAGTCAGCAAAGTAATTTATCGAACGTGCGAATTTCCCAATTAATTTTCTTCTCGCGCGATATTATTCAGGAAAAGAGGATTTTCCAGAAATATTCTTTTTTTTGTTGCAATCTGAAATGTTCGTGTCGGACAAATTGAATAATATGACTCGATATATGGAGGCTCGCCTCTATTCGCGAGCCTGATGACCTTGCTTCCCACTACTGCACATCTTTGATGGAAACTGTAAACGAGTTTCGAAGAGTAAAGAAATGATCAGTCTACGTCTTAGTGAAGATTCGACAAGATGGAGAGCGTAACTTCAAGATTTTATGCGGACATCTGGAGCCAATTGTTGAATTTGACAGAAAATTTTGAATCAATGAGAAGTGCTTTAAAGAATTTTGTGATAAAAGTTGCTCGAGAGGAAACAGGAATATATATAATAAACAAGTAAATAAGGATACGTATAAATCAGAATATACTGAAAAAATATTATTTGAAATTCTTGAAAGACATTTTGGTAATCGTAAGAAGAAACTGATATTTTAATAAAAATACAATAAAAAATACATCGACAATATAGAAATATAAGCAAATTAATAAAGTGAAGATAAATAGATATATGCAAAAGTTACGTTGACGCCCACTAAGTTTGAAGTTCATTTAATGAAGCAGTGATTATACGTGATTTATTACAGGTTCGACAATTTTTAAAAATCAATGTATAACAAGATGAATATGTTTGTAGAATTTGCAAAATAATCACTTTACAAAAATTTTTTCCTTGTAAACATAATCTACTGGAGAAATATGACTAGTAATTAAAGCAAAATTAAATTTTCTCGAAATGTGTTTTTTGTATTGTATGATTCGTAGTTGGAATTTGCATTTTTAAATATATTAACTGTTTCTATTTTCTAATCGAAGCTGATTGTTTATCAAGATTATTACATTTAAATCATTCAAATCTTTTAAAAAATTTAATACAAGAATGATCCATCTCTCGGACGCAGATTGATTTAAAGTGTTGTAGTTATTGTTAAAACAGAAATTTATATGCCAATTTATGGTAAAATAAATGAAGTAAATGAAGCGCAATTAAAATGAAATTATTATCTCTGATAACCTTCTTTTATCAATATAGAAGACGCATTGGATTTTATAATTAATAAGAATTATCGAGCAGAATATTTGTTATTATATAACATTTTATAATGCATGAACGCATTTAATACACATAGAATTTTATTCAATTTAATCTTTATCATTAAGAAAATAATTTTGCATTAATTATATAGACAAGGTATTTGTTAGTCCAAATACAGCTGTCGATTTAAAGAAATAGAAATGCAAATAAGGATGAGATATATAGAACTTATCGACGTATATCGATAATATTTTAATTTTGAAGTTGTGTTAAATATTAAGATCTATTTATAAAAATTATAAGTATATTTATAAATCATATTTATTTGATCTATAACAGAATCCTACGAGATGGCTAAGATTTCTATTTTGATCGCATTGCTACTGCAGTTTTGCTCGATCATTCAAGGATTGGCCCCATGTATTGATTACTACACACATATAGTCAAATAAGGAACAAATGAAATATTGGGAGAGATCACAATCCAATCTCCAAAACTTCCTCCATACGATTTGAAAGTGGGCTTTAATACAGACTCTTCCTTACATACAGTAAGTTTAGTATTACTAATAATATATCAGAGAGAGAGAGAGAGAGAGAGAGAGAGAGAGAGAGAGAGAGAGAAGTTAGCACATGTAAGATTGGTTATTAGTTATTATAATAGGCAATATTTAATAATTTTTAGCATGTTGAACTCATCTATAACCGATATTCTTCTTTATAGACGCGATATTTCTAAAATATGATTTAACCAATAAAAATTATTTAGAAAATAAACTTGAACATATCTTTCTCTTATAAAAACATCTTTTAGACACGCGCATTGTATTGTCTGAATCATAATTTAAATGGATTGAAATAAAAATCAAGAAATGATTTCAAAAAATTTAAAGTTTGATTTGTTACCTCTCTCAGATAGTACACTTTATTTATATAATAAGAAATAATTTAATTATCGGTACATTTCAGAAGGAACCTGTTGCTCAACTACAGTTGGCACGATCGATACAAGAGTCCGTTCAAGCTGTTCAGCAAGGAAAATCTTTGTTATATCATGTTCATTTTCCCTTGGGCCAACCAATTCCAAGACTAACCAAAATACTGTTTAATAATCAACAGATTTGTCCAAGTCCCAGAAGTAAATGAAAGATTACAAAAATGCTAATGTATATATTTGAGAAAACAGCAACAAAAGTTTCAATTATCAATTTATTTAAATTTCATGAAATTAGTTTATATTTTGTGTGTATAAATAATGTGTAATATTTCAGAACAAAGATAAAAATAGAATAGTAGAAAGATAACGCTTACTAAAATTTAAAATTTTTTATTCATTGTACATTTTTTTTTTATAAGAAAGTATTTCATGATTATGTTCATGTTCCTTAGAGAGATCTTTTTTCTATGGAAGAGAAAATTCTTTCCTTATTAAAAAGATTTAAGAAATGTTATATCTTATTTCAGAGACAGAAACTATCCCAACTACTAAAGAAATACAACTTACATCTAACTCGACAAACGAAGAGTCATTTTCAATGGCGGAAACTAATGGCGAAAATCCAAGCTTATCTACAATAGAAAACGATAAAAGAGATCCATCAACTACTATTAATCTTTCTAACAGAACTGATAACAATGAATGCGGTATCAGCAACTATACCGACCGCAAAAATCTTTTAGTCATTAACGGAGAAGAGACAAAACCGGGCCGTGGCTAGTGGCACTCTTCGTTGTAAGGAAAGATCATGAATTTAGGTGTTGTGGTTCTGTTCTGTCAACTAAACATATTTTAACAGGTATTGTAAAAAAAATCGAAGAAAAAAATTCTATAGAAAATAAAATCATTAGTGTGTGCAACTTCAAAATACTTGAATCATAGTTAGATTTTTTATGTTTTACATAGAGCGACATAGAGCGTAGATTATTAGAGAATTTATTTCATGTATATATTTCCTTACAGCGGCACATTGCTTAAAGTTGAATTTTTCCAGTAATTTTGATATACCTCCCAACGTATTAGTAGTGGCTTTAGGACGATTTAATTTACGCCAATGGCGTGAGAGAGGAACTATAAATCGGGAGGTCGCAAGTTACACGATACATCCTAATTACACTCACGAGGAATCCGGCGATTCCGATCTGGCAATTTTGACACTCAGAACAACCGTCGAGTATAACCTTTTTATCAAACCTATTTGCTTATGGACTGGTTCGAACAATCTCGATGAGGTCGTCAACAGAATAGGATACGTCGTAGGATGGGGTCAAGATGAGTTTGGTAATCCTTATACCGCGGAACCACGAATGGCGAGAGTTCCGATTGAGTGAGGTAAGAATCTTCACCAATAAAGAGTCAATTTTTCGCTTTTCGTGTCTTTTGCTGTTCGATCGACTGACAAATTGAATTTCATTAGCAAATAAGATTATTTAAAAACAAAACATTCAAAACGTGAATATATTTAATGACAATAAATTCAGAATATTTATATCGCGTAAGGAAAATGATTAGAGGTTTTTGTATTGTTAATGACGATAGGAGATGTTCCATTTGATTTCGCTTTCGTTTACATAATAAATTGCTATTATAAAAATAATGTAATAATAATAATAATAATACTTCCTGTATATATTTATAAAAAATGAATTTGCCAATGTCGTTGCACTCCAATTAATAAGCGCAATCGTCAATCATTAAAAACGAATTTTTACGAATGTTCTTAAAATAATTCCAATAAAACAATTCCATATAATTCCAAGATAATAACGACATCGAAGAAACGTCGAATTGATGTTAAATCATTTTAGAATAAGATATATTGCAAATGATGAAAATATTGTGTTGTTGCGTAAATTGTAGGTAACTTGTCTCAGGAGCCACCCAATTTTTATTACTCTCACTTCGGAGCGCACTTTTTGCGCTGGTTTGCGATATCAAAGTCCTTGCAATGGTGACAGCGGAAGCGGATTGGTGCTTTACGACTCTTCTACAGGCCGTTATCGTTTGCGTGGCGTCGTTTCGCGGTCAGTAACTGGCAATGATTTTTTGTGTGATCTCCAGAGGTACATTGTCTACGTCGACGTGGCCAAATATATACTCTGGATTCAAGAGCAGATCTCTACTACGTAATTCTGATCTCTTACCTTGTACAAAATACAAGATGTGTTACAAGACAAGTTTTTAAGATTTATTCGAAATTACGATATTTACATTCGACGACGTAAAGATTGAAGAGAGTTACAAGTTTGACTTTTTACGATAAGGGAGATTGAAACTTTTTTTTTTACTATTAATCTAAAAATTATAACTTGCATTTTTAGCACTCGACATCTTCGCTTTCTCCCTTTTTGAAACAAAATATGTATCTATCTCATTTTAAGTGCAAAAATATTTGGGGATTTCATGCAACGCGAACAGACTTATTTTGAAACGGCTGCGGCAGTGCTATTGTGACATCGTGATAGTTGCCAGTAAAAAGAGAACACACCCTCTATATTGCTGCTTTTCGACACCCATTTCTCCTATTGCCTACACCATTGTGTTCACTGCCTCACCGTCACGCATGCGCCAAAAACCCGGCCCGTCTAACAATACCGATGGGCGGGTCATGTGTGTGTACGACGGCGCAGCGGTTCGACCACTGCTTGCCACCGTATCCCCTCCCGTAAACGAACTGGAAATGGCATTGCTGCTAATGACTGCACAGAACCGTACGAAGTTCGTCTCGATCACGAACACATCTGTCTTTGTATTCTGTAACTTGTTAAGCAGTCGTTATTTGTTCATAACGACAGTTGCAGCTTTTTTACTGTATAAGGGTGATATATCATTTGTGCGTTTTTATTGTACGACAAATTTTTCAAACCTATTGATTAGCTATAGAATAGAGAGAACTTCTCTCACTCTGTCCTGCACATGTTTGTCGTACGACAAAAACGCACAAACGAAATAGTGCCCTAAAGTATCTGCACAATTGTCGTTATCAAGACTGCGTTCGGAAATATTATCCTAGTGTCTCCGCGTATCGTTTTATCCACGGAGTAATAAGGAGATCAAACTCAAGCGGCCGGTATTCATAGTTAGATCTTATATTCAAGACGTTTTAAATACGGTCTTAAAAAGTCACGAACCAGAAGGCTGCATTAGCGTCTTAAGATATTATTTAAAAGAACAGGGAACAAAGAACAAAGAATAAGAATTTCAACCTATTAAAAATCATGTATTGTAAAAAACACAGTTTCTGATAGGTTGAAATTTTTGTTCTCTATTGTCTGTTCCTTTTATTGTGCGAAGTCTCTAAGACGGTCTTGAAATAAGACTCGACGGTGTAGGAAAATCCATGGGAAATGTAGATATGATTTTAGTGTCATCACGCCTTGCGGAAAAGTTGAAGTATTGACTGTCACGTGATCACACGTATATATCTACCACATACATACTACTACATATATACATACATACGTGTGACACATATAAAATCACATTTGCCAGATTTTTCATGAGTTTCCTAACCGTGTTTCAAGCCCCACTTTCAGACCTCGAGTTTGATCTCTTTCTTATTACTCTGCCACTATTCGGATCAGTTTGTCCGCTTCGAGATGCAGTTCTACGATTTTTATGATTATTCGCATAAAGAATGTATTATCTTCTTTTAGTGCTATTATGTGTCTCACTGCTATAACTCGTTTAGCTTGATGTCATTTTCTGCGCTGCTGGGGCTAAGACAAATATTCGCGATTCCAGAAATTTGTTTCATATTTGTATCAATAATAATTGATACCTATTTAATCGATTAGCCATATCGATGGACGCTAGTAATATCTAAAGACCCGCGTTTAATCGTTAATAATTATGATAATGGCATAATAATTAATTTTGCCAATTTATATTTGCAATAGAACAGATTGCTTTTGCGAAAATGGTTTGCAAGTAGGATTAAGACACACATTCGTGTCTTGACTACGATTTGACTAGCTTGCGGAAATTGCTTTTTCTTATCAATAGTAGCCTGATATAAGCACCTAATTGACAGGAATGAAAATGCTGCTAATCCTTTGTGAAAGGAACTAAACTTACGATTAAATTGATAAAAATTGATATGCTTAAAAATTTGTGCATACAAGTACGTGCGATATTGATGTAGTAGTGATGTGTTAATGTTTTATAAATCATATGTGTACGTATGTATATATGTATTGTAAATCATATGTACAAGGAGGTAAAACAGCGATTCGGAGTTTAAATTGTAATAACTTTTACAACAATATAAGTATGTTACAACATTTCTGTTTATTTGCGCTAACAACCGTTATCTGCTAATTCTTTGAAGTTGTCTTAAACGAAATTACCATATTAGTAACAAAAACATAATGACAACTAAAGAAAAACTAGTGTCAAGCAATTGTTTCCTTTCTTATGCTAATGAACTTAGCTATCCGAGTTAATTAGTGCGAGATTGTATTGTTGTACATATCGAAGTTAAAGTAGCATGCAAGAGAATATTCAGGCCGATGATGAATACCCTGTGAGAAATGACTGTCAATTCATCAAATCAACATCAATGTTAAATCGACGTCGAAATCATCAATTCGTCAAAATCATTTTTACGTAATCTAACCAATCACTTTGTCGTAGCTAGTAAAGTTTGTCCTAGTAAAGTTTGAGATGCCAAAGATCTTGAATAATGATTTTGATGCACTGACTGTCGCAGGACTTGCTATCATCTACCGAATTTGACAAATATAATAACGTATTATGTTTGCCTTTATATTTGCGACAAAAGCTTGGTGCAATTTTTTAGCTTGGTATGAATTAGATCTTAGACACAGTTAAGACACAATGAGCCTTCTTTACTTTCAATACTTTAATTAAAAGCTATAAGCACAATCACAGATCACGTGATAAAAGATACGTTCTTAAATTTTCGTAAATGTTTTTGAAATGACACAATTCTACGTAATTTTAAAACCAATGCTATTCAACAATATGAATATTTTAATTCTTTGATTAATCACAGATGATGAAACTGCATTACAGACACTAATTAGATATGAGTGAGAAGGAAAAGTTAATTAAGAAAAAACGACAGAGGAAGAATCAAAATTAAAAACATGATTACATGAAAACATGATTACATAAAACGAATGGATGCACAAGTTATCGACATAGACTGTTAATAATAAATGTTCGATTGCTTTGATAGTGAGGATGACGACAGTAAAACTGACTAACTTAACAATATGCATCAGTGGATTCCCCCTTTTTTACTTCTCGCGCAAAATTTTCCAAGCCGACAGGATGATCTAAACACGTTTACTTAATTTCCTTGCATTGCCTTATGTTTGCATGCTATCTTCGACGAATTAAATGCAATAACCTTGATTGCAGTACCCCACTATTGCGTCAATCAAACGCATCTTCAGCATAGAAATTGTAAACATATTTCAATAAAGAACTAGTCAAATGTATAAAGTGAATTCAGTAAGATCGCAAGAGCGTAATTCCTAGGATTAATATACTAAATATTTGAAACTAGTTGCCGTGGCATTGAATTTCGAATCATTCAGAAGCAAAATGTTCAAAATGTTTCGCCAAGAGTACCTCAAAGAATATCTCAGAAATAAACAGGAATAAATAATAAATAAAATACGTAAATAAGAAGGTATTGAAGAAATTTAATTTGAAGTGCTTGAAACTTATTCTAATAATCAATAAGAAATTATTAGATGGAGTTCGATATAAGTCAGCAAAACGTCAGCATTACTGATATACACAGTGAAAAGATGTAATAAAGTGAAAGCAGACAGTTTTACGTGAGAGTCGCGTTAATTCTTAACAAACTCATAATCAGTTAAATAAAGCGATGATTGCATTCGCTACAACCGGTTCCATGATTGAATAAGCAAGATGTGAAATAAATGTGCTCGTAGAATGCGTAAAATATCTTCCGCGGGCGGATACATTCATCTTATGGAACAATTTTTTTTGTAATAATCTAAAAAAACATAACTAGCAATTAAAGTAATTTTCTCAAAACGCGTAAATTTTATTGTATGATTCATTGCTAGGATTTATTTGTGTATTTATATTTCGAAATCCTGTTTCCTTTAATCTTATCAACGATTCAAAATTAGACATGACGAGGTATGTAAATACTAATTATATCAATTATACATTCCCATTAACATGCTAGATTTGTAGTATTTCTATGTTTTTTTCAAACAAAATTATTGATTCTTTCGAAACAATAATAAGATTCTTCCTGGACTGAATTAAGAAATAAATTTAATGTTAATTATTTGATATTAATAATGATTAATTCGATAATTAATTGTAGCAAATATTAACAATTTATAAACATTAAATACACATGTAAACCATGTTTGTCGTTAGTTTTGTAACACAGACTCACAAAATGGTAAAAATTTCTATCTTGATTATATTGATATCGCATCTATTTGGTACCATGGTGCATTGTGCAACTCCGTGCTCGGAATATTTTACGTATATAATCAGACCTGAGACTGGTATACTGGGACAGATTGAAATCCCATCTCCTTCAGAAAATGGTGAATTCTATTTAAGGGTGGCCTTAAATAGTGTTATGATGTCGCCTTCAGTAAGAATTTTTTATTATTATTATTAAAAATATAGAAAAGAAGTTGTAATATATTTTTGTTTTTTTATATCAAAATAAATAATCTCCAAATCATTTTTATTACATTAAAGTTAATTACGATTTGAAGTTTTTCTGAAGCTTTTATAAAAATTAAATTTGACTAGTTGGATTATTTAAAAGCTATTTTATATTTTAATGTAATTTGTCATATTAGTTGTACTTGTGTAAAATGGAAGTAGCTTAATTATTATTACGTTCCAGAAAGATGCGTTTGTTCGATTGCAATTGGCACGACCGATAAAAGAATCCATTCTAGCTATTCGACAGGGCAGACCCTTATCATATCATATCTATTTTCCATCGCTAAATCTCGATGAACCAATTCCAACAGTATCTGCGATATGGTTTAATAATCTAAAATATTGTTCTGGTGAGTACTATATTTGCTTGTGAAAAGAATACAAATAAAGAATATTTTATACAGGGCCAAACTTTTTGACATATTACTTGTGGACAGGTAGAATGGACTAAACTGAGTCAAAAAGTTCTCTACCATTTTGCAATTTTCAATCTTTTTAGTTATCCAATGAGCAAAATGTCTAAAATTGACGCATAAAACAATTTTAAGGTATCCTTATAAATTCTTTAAGAAACATCTTTAAAATATTTCTCTCATAAAAAATTCTGAAACATATCAAAGTTGTATTACATGTTCAATTTTATCCACTTATTCGGCAATCTTTAGAAGTTAATATTTCATTATCTATTGTGAAAATTGTAAAATGATGGAGAACTTTTCGTCTCAATTTAGTTCGATCTATCTGTCCACATACAATATGTTAAAAAGTTTGAGACACCTTATGTATCTAAAGAAATAGAATATTTCCATTTTTTTTTCGCACTACGCTAATTGAAATTAATTTTATTAATTTTAACTATGCATAATTTCTAGAAAATAGGAAAGTAAAACTCATTATAATCGAAATTTTCTCTTTATCATTATATATTTTTTTTATCTTATACACCATTTTTTATCTTTATATAAAAACGATTTTACCATTATTTCCTGTCTTTGGAAATTATTTTTTTCTCTAAAAGAAAGTAAAATTGCTTACTTTAAAAGAACAAGTAACTTGGAAAACATATTACGTTTCGTTTCAGGAAATGGAATTATCAGAGCGACTATTGAGTTGGGGCATGTTGTGTATCCGCCAAACAATGTGCCATTTTTTTGGCAAAATTCATCAGAATCCATTGAGAATTTATTGTATCGAAATATTAGCATCTACCGAATAAACAACCCAAATCATTACCGTTTAAACTACTTACATCTAATTTACTCCAATCCTACTACGGATTTTTGGGAGAATAACGAGAATCGGAAAAAGCCCATGAAAACCCATCAGTCCAGTAACGATAGCAATGACAATAAAAATACTAATAATAATAGTAACGATAATAATAACAATACCAATATTAATAATGATGAATGTGGTATCAGTAGCCGAATCGAGAGCACTATAAATGTTTTGATTTTCAATGGGCAGAAAACGTCGACAGACCAGTGGCCATGGCTGGTAGCACTCTTCATTGCAAGGAATGACGAATACAACTTTCAATGTGGTGGAACCATTCTGTCAAATAGACATGTTTTAACAGGTATGATAATCGAAGAAAAAAAATTTTAAATTCTCTACTCTCTATTTTTCGTAAATAAAAAATTGAACTTCATCAAACAATATAAATTTTATACCTATATCTACGCGTGCACGCGTATTGTGTTTTTTTTCATCAAATATTTATAACAAAATATTTATTTGTACTTATTTAAATTCGCATGATGAAATAGGATATCAAAAATTGTCCATAAGTTTTCCCAGATTTTCACTATTCATCCGAATATAATTGGAAAATGCACAATGAAAAATCTAGATGGGATAAATAAAAAACACAAGATGTCCTCACACAGAATCATCTTCAATATCCAAGAAGTCTTGAGATATTTATAGAAAAAAAATTCTGTCTGTCTTATTATTGTAAATACTTGATATACATATTATATAATTATTTTCCGTCATTAATTTACAGTATTTAATTCAATTCGAAGTATAACACATATGATATAATACAAGAAATATTTAGGACATTTTTACTACTCTCCGGACATCCGGACAATTACGGATTATTAGAAAATGTATTTCATGCATATGTCTTTTCTTATAGCGGGACACTGTTTGACCTTCAATAGTACCGAAACTATACCTTCTAATGTATTGATAGTGGCATTGGGGCGATTTAAATTACATGAGTGGAAGGAAGGAACCGTGAATCGAAAAATTGCAAGCTACAAGGTTCATCCTGACTACGTACACACAGGTACCACCAGTGACTCCGATCTGGCGATTTTGATTCTTAGGACGGCCGTCGAATACAGTCCTTCTATCAGACCTGTTTGTCTGTGGTCCAGCAATTCGACCAATCTTCAAAATATTATCGGTAAAACAGGATATATTGTGGGATGGGGCGAAGACGAAGCGGGTCATCCTTACACCGAGGAACCTCGAATGGCAAAGGTGTCGATAGCGAGTAATGTAAGAATCTTCACGAGAATTTCCCTTTTTCGTTATTTGATCGATATTCAAATTGAATTACAATTGCAAATGAGGTTCTCCAAAAACATAATGTAGGAATATCTTGATAACAACAAATCTGGAATATTTATATCATGGAAAGAAAATACTTAAAGATTTTTGCTTTAAAGGAATACTAAAGCCGTCTGTATTACAGACTAAATCGTTATTTTTGTAGAATAATTACCTTTTTCTCTTTTAGATTCGAAAATTCTTTTTCAAAATTAAAATATACGCATTAATACGTGAGGAATTAATGCCGAGAACGACAAAAAATTTCGAAATTAAAATCTTAAGAAAAATTTTTTGTCATTTTCGGCATAAACTTCACACAGACACAATTGACAAAAATTAATACGTATAGAAATCATTTCCGTGAGATTATAAAATTTATTCGCTTTTATAAAAAATCCTCACACCAAGAACGACTAAAAAAATAAGAATTAAATAAATTTGCTTTATTTTCTACTGTCTGGAATAAATTTGTAGAAAACTGTCAAGCTTATAAACCAGGATCCTATCTTACCATTGATAAACAATCGTTTCCTTCTAAGGCAAGATGCCCATTTACATAGTACACGAGTAATAAACCAGACAAGTTCAGAAAAACTGATTCATTATAGATATTGACTCAAAATATCTATTGAATGTATACCATATCTTGAAAAAAACGATATGCGACCTGCATGTCAGAGTATGTTGTGCTCAAATTTTCAGAGCCGTATATAAAAAAAAGAAGGAATATAACAGTTAATAATTTTTTTACATCTCTCAAATTGGCTAAGATTTTAAAGAAACAAAATACGAATTTCGTTGAAATAATAAATAGAGGAAGAAAGGAGATTCCAACTATTATCAAAATCTATCACTATGCGTAAACAACAACCTTTGCACACAACTAGATTTTTCAAATATGATATAACTTTAAATTAAACAGTTTATCAAGCAAAAGCTAAAAAAAATGTTCTTATTCTCAGCTCTATGCACAATGATATTTAGATAGCTAACAACCAGAAGAAAATTCTCAACACAATACAATTCTACTAAATATGGAGTTGACGTAATAAATCAAATGGCAAGAAAGTACAATGTGAAAGCACTTCTTATCGCTCGTCGCTGACCTATTCATACATTTTACAATATGTTAGATTTGACAAATCCAGGCAATGATAAATGCCTGGATAATATATAAAGAATAGGAAAAAAAATTTCTAGAAGGAATTATTTATTACAATTATCTGAAGAACTTGCAAGTTCATATGTGCAAACAAAACAAGTAACAAATCTATCAATTAATAAAGAATCTTATGACGGAAAGCGTATCAAGTAAAATTACATTGTAAGAGAAATCATAAAATAGAAATATGCTCAGAGTGCAATAAAAACGTAATGCGGAAAATGTAAGGCAAAAGTGAACTGTATATGTGCAAATTGCATTCATCGCTTATTTTAATTTTTTTTTGTTGTTTACGAAATATGTGAAAATTTTATTTTATATATAATATATTGTTATAAAGAGAATTGTATCTTTTGTTTGTAAAAGTAAACAGCTTTTATTAAAAATGTAAGACGTAAAAGTTGCATGTGCAAACTATAGATTGTAATATTTTTACATCTATTTTAAAATTTTTATCGAACTGCCCTTGCATGCTCTATCAACATCTTTCTTTTTTTAGAATATAATATTCACATATAAACTTTAATTAATTGTGATTAATTAAATCACAATTAATTAAAGTACGCGTGAATACAAACTTTAGTCATATTAATAAAAAATTTCTTTTAAATGAAGCATTGTTCTCTAAAACGGATATTGAAGAATTATTATAAGATTAAAATATTTTTCTTTTTGATCATATTCAATTGCTTGTTTTTTTTTAATTGTATTAATTGTATTAACACATGTTAATACAGAATATAAAAAAAAATATATACAACTCCAAATAGTACAAATAATATCAAAATAACATTTGATTAATCGGAAAATAGCCAAATTAGCGCGTTCAGCGATCCTAGTGTTAAAATAACACTCTTAAAACAACACAATTTTGCACAATTCCGATAGTAATATATACGGAAAACTGGCAAATTCCACGTTGTCGAGTAAAATTGTACAAATAATGATAATCCGATGTTGTTGATTGGATTGCAGGAGGACTGTCTTTGGAGCCATCCGCTTTTCGTAACTATCACTTCGAAGCGCACCTTTTGCGCCGGTTCGCCGAACATTCCTTGCAATGGTGACAGCGGGAGTGGACTGGTGCTCCATGATGAAACCACGAATCGTTATCAATTACGTGGCGTTATTTCACGGTCGGTGGCTAGTGCTCGTATTAATACTAAATCCTTCTGTGATCCCACGAAGTACGTCGTATATGTCGATGTGGCCAAATATCTACCCTGGATTCAACAGCAGATATCCAACACGTAACGCTGGTCTCTTGCCACAAAATGTGATAGTCGGCAAATATTAAAATAATTTTATTTGAAAAGCAATATTTGTAAGACAATATATTTTGTATTTCAGAAACATATAAAAGTAAATAAATAACAAATGGTTTAAAAATATAAACACTAAATAAAAGGAGCATACAACACACGCAGGATTTAGCGCAATGTCATATATTCAAAATCTTTTGTTACCGAATTTTAAATAAACGTTTCGGCCAACATTTGGTGATTCTCAGTATGTTATTGGTTTATTGAGAGAAAATTTTCCATACTCTTAGCAGTCTCGAATTTCTTTTCTGAGCGCATTTTTGTAACGGTCGCGTAAACACAGTTTGGAAATTGTGTTTACACAATGATCAAATTCAATTTCGTATGTAATAACAAAAATTGAATTTCTTGAATGTCGAAAGAATGGAAAAGTAATTGCAAAAGATTATAATATTAATGATAACTTTTATAATATTAACATATTGAATGCCATGAGAATATACAGAATAAAAGTAATAAATAATAAGTAATAAATTTTGCATTTCCGAAAGATTGAAAGTATTTTGGATTTTGTATTTCAAATACTAAAATTGACAATAAATTTTATATGAATTACAAAATATAAAAAACTTTCAATCTTTCGATTTTAAATACAAAATATGTAATACTTTCATGTGCTCCGCTAAAATGCAAAATACACCTGTATTACAAATATTTTAAATAAAAAAATGTCATATATGTCTGGCCTTAAGTTTGACCGACATCCAAGTAAGTTTTGTAACAAGTTTTATTTCTGAACCATTTCAGTCTTCAATTTTGGATATATTTTCGGTACATGAGCTCGGTACATGAGAATTACCGATGTCACTAATAAAAGAAATTTAAACTAAAATAGTGATTTTTCCATATAATAATATATGTTGTGTTTCTTCTTCTTCATATATGTATTATATTAATAAATGTTAGATTATATTATGGTTCTTAATAATATAAGTAATAAATAATATAAATTTCAAATAGAATAAGAGATGCACTTTTATTCTTACATGTTTTAATTTTGTATGTAAATAAGACAATGTATAATGATGTGTATAAGTAAGACAATGCATAATGATGTGTATAAGTAAAACAGTGTACAATGATGTGTAACTGAATTTAGGATATTTAAAAAATCTGAAAATATTTCTGTTATGAAATATTAATATTTCCAAATATACTATTGCTCAAAAGCGTTAGCCTAACTTTTGTAACTCTTCCAATTTATTACTAGATAAAAGTGTCACTTGTCTTCTGATTAAACTTATAATGATTGTGTTATATGTTGTATGTTGTAAGTTATATGTTAAAATTGAGTCCAACGGACGTCATTAAAACAAAAAATAGTAAAGTTATTTATGGTTGTCCAATATTTTGATAATTACTAATTGAATATTTTATTATACAGGTAATACTAATCTTATTATACAGGTAATATTAATGTTTCAAGAAGTATTTTATCCAAAAAAAAACAAGCATAGCAGAAACAGAAAGCCATTAATCTTCTCTGTAACTCAAAATAGTTCGAAAAGGAAGAAAAAAACTCTGTAACTCAAAATAGTTCGAAAATTGTGACGTTGGATCATTTGAATGACCGAATTAAATATTTCAATCATCAGATTTTGATGGAGGAAACAAAATTCCTTTTAATAAAAAAGAACCTTTTGATAAAGAATATCTAATGACCGCAGCAGAATGTCAGCATTAGTATGTTATCTTTCTGTGATTATCGAAGATTTAAGGAAGAAAAAAACTCTAACTTTTCGGCCATAAGGAGTGAGATCTCAGAACTCGAATTTCAGTTTCGAATCTTCAAAATTAAATTTCAGTGCTAGGTACATAGAAAGTGCTCGATCCAGCTCGACCATCGTGGTGCATCGTGTTTCGAATGTGCCAACGTAACATGTATGGCATGTTTTGTCAAAGATATTTTCAGATAATTATTTTTCTATATTATTGTATATCGTTTTGAATGTACATAAAGTATTTTCCTTTTGTAATTCCACTAGTTATTAATTAATAATAATGTAGAATTGATCTATTGAATTGACCAATGTTTCTAGACGAACATCTGACTTTGAATGATAAATGTTTTGATAAAGTTATTGAAGAAATAAAATTTGTAAGTAATACAGGAATCACTATCTGTGATATGGAAGTGTGAGATTAGAGTGTATTTCGTTGTAGTAGTTTTATTAGGACATAATTTAAGCTTAAATGATTTGTTAAGTTTTAATGAAGCTTTATTAATGAATATTTTTGCCATATTTGTAGAGCTCCGAAAAACTGTAACTTGTTGTGCAATATTTGAAGATGAAAATCTTTTGTGCACGCTGGAAAATTATGCTCAAGATGTTGCAAATTTTTCACATGGCATAAAAAAGATTGCATTTTTAATGAAATCCCTCATTTCACATATTAAATTTTTGCAAAATTCATTCAAAAATTACATATTCATTGATTAACGTGATTTATTACATATAATACATTAAATTTTTATTTTCCTATCAGAAATGTAACTATATCGCAGATAGAAAGATAAATTTCAATTGAACATTATACTATATGCCGTAATATGTATATCATTAGGAGATGTTATAAGAGGTCAGTGTTCGTACCTGAATTGTAATTAAATCGTAATATATCGCCTCTAATGTGTAATGTTCATCGTTGTAACGAAATACGAGATAGAATTTATAATTAGTTACGGAGTCGCGTTACCTTTGTATTTCAGCTCGTTATATTTTATCGCATATAAATATTGTTTTTGATTCTAGAAGAAAAATTTTAATTATTATGTATTTATTATATAGATTGTCTCAGATCACTCATACACCTCTTTTATCTCGGAAACAGAGCATTTTAGAAAAAAACGTTCCAGACAAAAGTTATGGGGTTCTAAATGATCTATTTAGTGATCTGATCAGTCCGACCTTGGTAGCGTCACTGAGATATTAAACGCTTTAAAAACAAATTCACTACTTTAAAAACGAATTCACTACTTTATAAACAAATTCATTACTTTAAAAATACAAATTTACTATTTTAAAAATATAAGTTATTTTCTTATATTATTTTTGTGTTTTGAAAACAGTAATTTGTTTCTAAAGTAGTGAATTTGTGTTTTAGAGCAGAGAATTTGTTTTAGGCTAATTCTAAAATGTGCTTTTTGTTTTCTGTTTCTTGCTGTTTGTCTTTTGTCTTATTGACTCAAAAGGCAAGAGACAAACAGCAAGAAACAGGAAACAAAGAGCACATTGTAGAATTAGCCTTAAAGTAGTGAATTTGTGTTTTAGAGCGGAGAACTTGTTTTAAAGTAGCAAATTTGAGGCCGCAGCGCATCATAGTATTTCATGGCTGTGACAAATTTCTTAATCTCAATAGTCGTCAACTTTAATATCTCAAATCTCAATATCTCGATCTACGGGGCAGAGCGTTTATATTTTTTCTTGTAGAATTTTTATTTTTACGTAAAAATGCATCGATTGAGTATATTTTTATCAAAATTTGAGATGACTGTATTCTCAACCATTACCGAAATAATAATTAAATTTTGGTCGAAATCGAAAATCGAAATTTCGATTGTCAAAGAATAGATTAGGCCTTGACTAAAGTTACTTAAGATTTTTGGATCTCTCTGGCTGCGTTTCATTTCGCTCATGATGTATAGGATATATCATTTATTCCTGTTATTCACTGAATATTAAACAAGGATAAATGATGCATCAAGGGAGAAACGGAACGCCTCTGTCCTACAGCCAAACAGGCAGGAAAAGAGTTGCTATATTAATTGCCTCCATTTGCTTCCACAGGAGGCAGGAGCCATTAATCAAGAATTAAGACTTGAAAAGCCTGTTGTACGACATATGAAAGATCGGCCTTCGTCTGTCGTATCTCGTCAAATACTCAAAATATATTTATTATATTTATATCATGATGGTACTCACTTCAGGATATATGACGTATATCATACATAAACAGGACTGCGTTCCGTTTCACGCATGATGCGCATGATGCATCATTTATCTTTGTTTAATATTCGGTGAATAACAAGGAACGTAGCCCTTCTTCTTTACATATGTACGTGTCCCTCTATACCACCGATATAACAGATCTCTTAATCTTGAGTATCTATAAACTTTAATATGAATATAAATTCGCCCTATTCTGTTTGCGAGGCAAACCATCGCGTTTTAATGTTAGATTCTTTTAAATAAAACACAAATAAGTAGAATTACCTTTATTTTTTCGTATCCAAGCCAAGAGTAATTCACGCTCGTCGAAACTTCTCAGTCCTCACCGAATACTAACAATGACCGGACGAAATAACTGAAAAATTTAACCGGCAATTCCAATCAATTCTGATCAACTGAAATTATTTCAACTGACTCTCCGTACAATACTACCAACTTTCGAAAAAAAGAAAAATTAGATGGCACTTCAAAAAAATAGTCAAACAGCTAAATTTTAAAAATACAATTACAATTAGTATTAATTTGTTTGACAGAGAAATACAAATTCTTGCAATAATTAAATTTACATATTTATCTTTAATGCCTCCAGCACACCAGTGCGATGTTCGTCGCGCTGATGTGTCGAAGCCACAAGGGTTACGAATTTGCCGCTACGAATGCTTCGAAGCATTTGATTGATCAATCGGAAAAAAGAATTTTACTAATCGACCAATCAAAAAATGCTTCAAAACATTCGTAGCGGCAACTCGACCGCATCTCAAATAAGTACAACTGAAAGGAAGTGGTGTATAGAAAATAAGTGTAAAATATATATAAAATTTTTTTGTATCATAAAATTCTGTTTTTTATTGTCCCATTGCAGAAGGTAAGTAAAAATTTTCCATTTCGAAAATAAATCATTAAAGAATTGATAGGCCCATAACAGGGATAAAAATATAGCAAAGTATAACTCGAACATTTTAAATTTAACTCGTGTCAGGTTGGAAATGTTGTCGTGCAACGGCACCTAATACAATTTCTGCACTGTACACATCTGTAAAATTTTAAATGAAAAAAATTACGTGTAGAAGATACATTTCTATTATCTACATTATATATATATAAATATATATTATATCTCTTCCATTCCATTTAATTTCCATTCTTTCTTTATAATCAATTTTCTTATATAAAAAAATAAGACAATAAAACATTAAAAGCTAATTTGTGACTACTTACTAATATTTGCACGTAAAACATCAGAAAGGAGATGAAGGTCATTATCATGGGTTACAATAATATAATTTAATTTCCCAGCATTCATTTCTTGTATCTGAACAATTGGTCTACGTGTTTTTTCCATTGTACCTCCTGCACTTTCTATTATTTCCGCAATTGCCGAGGGTGATGGTATTACACTTGGTGTGACATAAAATATTTTACCCTGGTTAAGCGGAAAAGTGAAAAAATTTTTAAAAATTGTCTTTCCAACTGTTTAAAATGTCTACACTGTTTATTATACAATTAAAAATCGTATTATATGTTGATAAAGGAATTTAATCCCATTACCTTAAGTACAGTCCCTCGATTGGGGCTCGCTAAAGTTTTTTCAATATTACAATTGAAGTTTTTCTCAAATTCCGAATCACCAAGCATATATGCGCTTTCATCCACAAAAGTGTTTTTTGCAGAGCAATCGAGTAACCATTGAAGATTGACGATATATTTACAACGTGATAAACAACACAATAACTTTACTGTTCGTAATGGTGCTGACATTACGAGATGAGTAGCATCTCGCCAACTGGCAGCTAAAGCTCCTCCCAGTTCTCGAATTCTCTAGAAATTACATAAAATCTATTCAGAAAATTGCAACAGCAAAACTTAGTAATAATATTACAATGAATTTTTGTAATTACGAACAAAATATAAAGTTAGTACCTCTTGACATGTGTATGACAGCAAATATTGGAAAAATATGGGTAAAAACTGGATAAATGCAAAAAAAGAGAGGACAAAGAAAATTAGTAGAACATGAAAAATTTTTTGACATGACAATGACAACACAAAAGGATGAGGAGAACGAAGCAACATAGAAGTAGTAGTATAAGTTTAGTAGTGACACATAAAGAAATAAGTTAATAAGAAATAAAAAATGAATTTATTAATTAAAAAACAATTATTATTTTACAATTTCGGATATTCCGAAAAGCCAAGTATATAAATGGTATCTATTATAATACCTTGGCATGATTTTTAGGATTTATACCAGAAAATAGTATTTTTGGTTGTTTATCAGGTGGCGGAGGATCAGGATTGCTAATGACAATTGGTTCATCTAAGCCCAAAAGATGTGGGTCTTTATTTAATAGTGGGCCATCCAGACGTGGCTTCTTGTATTTTCTTATCGAATTTGGACCCTGACCAACCTGTTGTACTTTGTCATACGATTCTTGTGTAATATTTATTGGCATTTTCCAAGCAGCTAAAATTAAAAGAAAATTTGATAGTTTCGTATATAATAATAGATTCAAATATATAATTTTTATAAATATCTATAGGATAACAAAAAAGTTTGACCAAAATTTTATGTATATCAAATTATTATCTATGTAGCAAACTGACATTATTTATCGCTATTTTGGCATTAAAATGGCATTAAAAATATCATTTTAACATCAAAAGGACAATAAATAATATTAATTTTCTTGAGTGCGGTAATATATATTTAAAGAAAACAAACTTTAAAAAGTAATAGTTACATTTTATTAAATATCAAAATTTTCACTGATTGAACTGAAAACCACTCTACTAACTGGGAGAATTTTTCTGTGAAAAGATCATCATTGATTCTCGAAATGTCTTAAAGATTGTATCAAAGATAAAGATAATTATTTTAAGTGTCAATTATTATTTTTAGTATTTAATAAGATATAACTAATACTCCAGAGTTTATTTTTTTTAAATGTACGTTATTAATGAACACAAAACTTTGTGGCTAAACTTTCTTGTCATTTTGTAATAAGTAAATATTATACCCATAAGATGAGGCACTAGTGAATAATCTAGTCTGAAAGGATTACTCAGACTAAACTGTTGATACTTTGGACCCTCAAGTTGATGCAAAGCATTCATCTGCCCGCATAGTAGATCTGTCAACCATTGTACGTTTACAACATTCGTTTGCCATTCACGTGCCTTTTTATATTTCAGTCCATCTGGTCTAAAAAGATTATTTCAGAATATAATTATTGTAAGAATATTAAGAATGTTAATTAGTAAGAAATATAAAATATTATAAAAAAGAATGAAAGTTGAACTATCAATTAATAGAACGATTACGCATATAACATGAATAATTGATGAAGTTATTAAATTATAATAAGAAAAAAACACAAGATACAGACAGTACCTTCTACAAACAAGAAGAGTATTATGTCTGGAAAAGTAATTCGTATACTTCGCACCCAAAGCTTCTAACATATATTTGACTTTTGCTCGTTCCTCTCCCTCAAAGCCAGAAAATGATATAATTTGCTTGCCACATGGAAGTTCAGTTAAGCTAAATGGTGTCGGAAAATGAAGAACATGCCAAGGCGGGAGTACTTGTTGCTTGCTGACAACATCAGAAAGCCAATGTGCACTGACGCAACGTTTCCCTTCGCGCAACGCTTGTACTACAGTCGGATGTTTCTGCGTGATGGCAAGCACATGCGTTGCTCGAGTACAATATTGTGACTCTACTTCGCCACCATGCCTTTCAATAACTTGTTTCCAGACTGATACTTCATTAGGACGCTGCACATCATATTCAACAATGACAAAAATACATCCTAACAAGAATAGCTCTAGGGGCACTGAAAATACACATATTTTTGTTATTGATTATAATAACGATGCTAGATATATATCATAAAAAAATAAAGCTTATTAAATAAAATTATATTACTCTAGTATTGTATAAAATTTATCCATAATAATAATGTTAATAGAACGATAAAATAATAAAAAAGAAAAACGTACATTTCAAATTTGGATTGTGACCATAAAATTGAGCCTTAGGTTGTGGCACAACTGGAGCATATTGCATTTTTATAGGTGCACCTGATGGTGCGCCATTTGTTATATTCCCCAAAGTTCTTCTTTGATAAGCGGCTAGAAGCTGCGGATCTTGTGAAGGTGGAGGTGGAGGTCGGTGCTGCGCAGTCATTAATCTCAATTGACCAGCTGCACTACCCTCGGCAGCACCACCTTGTAATCTGTTAGTCAACATATTTGCCAGTGCAGTTTTTGTTTTAGCATTCACAACAAGCTGCTGATCCGGTGGTATTTGCGCGTTATTCGGCAGAGACGCTAACGGCGGTTCTTGCTGGGCACCTTGTTGCTGCTGTTGTTGTAAATGCTGCAACTGCTGCAGTCTAACCATTTGTTGCTGCTTCTGTAACTGCAGTTGTGCTAATTGTTGAGGAGTGAGTTGTCCTTGTTGGAATGGTTGGCCTGTTTGTGACGCCTGCGGGCCTTGAACGGCCTGACCAGCTGATACGATGACTTGATTAGAAGAGTTTATCGGAGTTAATGCTGGTGGTTGTACTCCGGGATGTACAGGTTTCTGTCCTGGAGTTTGCGTAAGTTGCGGTCCCATCATCTGCGGTCGAGCTTGCTGAACCCACTGTAAACTGCCCGGCTGTACTGGTTTACCAGGACTCCTTATAACAGCGATATGTGAACCTTGCTGCGCCTGACGATTCTGCATCTGCCTTTGTAATATTAGGCTGCTTCGATGCTTTTGAATCTTCTGAATGAATTGAGCCCTCTGTTGGGGATCCATCTGCTGCAGCTGCTGATGTGTTTGCGCGTCCAAATGAATTAATTGTCTGGGAGGTTGAGGCGGTTGTTGATTCCATTGTCCTCCAGATCTTTGAGCACCAATCTGTTGCTGTTGCTGTTGCCTTTGCAGCTGTAAATGATATTGCTGCTGTTGCCACTGTGAATCCCGTTGAACAATAAATCCTTGCTGATTTGGTCCAATTAACTGCTGATTCTGTGGCTGTTGTTGTAATTGACCGTCTCTTATAACAAATTGTTGAGAGTTCTGAGGAGCAGATTGCTGCAATTGTTGTGAAATCTGTTGTATCTTCTGTTGCTGCTGTTGCTGCTGTTGCAGCAAAAGAAGTTGCCTTTGCTCGGAAGTAAGTTGCTGCGATGGAGTCTGTTGTTGAGTCAATTGATGTTGACCTGCTATTTGTTGCTGTTGAGAAGGTAATTGCTGCTGCTGTTGCATCACTATTTGCTGTTGTTGTTGAGATGCTAATTGCACTTGCTGCTGCTGTTGTTGTGTCAAATGTGGCTGCTGCGTCTGTAGTTGTTGTTGTTGAATAATTTGGTGTTGATTTAATTGTTTTTGTTGCGATGTTAATAATTGCTGTGGTTGCGTATTTAGCTGATGTTGAGATAATTGCGAATTTATTGGTTGTTGCTGTTGTTGAGGCATTATCGATTGCTGTTGCCCTACTAATTGTTGTTGCTGTAACTGAGGCGACTGTTGCTGATTCAAAAGTTGTTGTTGGTTGTATGATGGCTGCTGCAACTGTTGTTGATGTTGCGTGAGTTGTTGCTGTGTTAATTGCTGTTGCGATGTTAATTGTTGCTGCTGTATCAATTGATGTTGCATATTCATTTGCTGCTGTTGCGGAGACAATTCTTGTTGCTGCATTTGTGACGGTACAGCTTTTATTTGCTGAGAAATATTATTTTGCTGAGATGTCTGTGGAAGCCAATTTGTTTGATTAATAACATCTTGGTCAGAGACTGATGAAGCAACTGTGGAAGTGCTCAAACTGGTCGAGGAAACTGATCGTGGAAGATGCTGTTGCGGCTGCATGTTCACGGTATTTTGTCCGTTTGTTGAATAAGGAACAGTCGCTGTACTGGTTGCACCAAGGTTATGCGAAGCACTTGAAGACACTGGTGGACTTGGTTGATTCCATGGCATACGTTGCTTGAGTTGCTCCAACATGGCTTTTGTCCTATCTTGCTCCTCTTGCGCAACATTATTATCCGTATCTTCATCCATAAATCCAGTAATCATCGCTGTCGAGCTATTTGGAGACACTAGCAATCTAGGATGATATTCCACTTCGCTAATGAGAGTACCTTTCTTACAACATTCCGTTATCCAATCAGGCGTTACAATAGGTATATGATGTCTCGTAGCAGTTTCATACTTTATACCGCTTGCTTTGCCCGTAATCAGATGAGTGCAATATTTATCCAAGCGTAACTGACATTTACCACCTTGTAGTATTATCATTGCCCATAGAGACTTGCTGTCTGCTCGACTTACCTGGGATAGGCAGACATTTATGTTCGAAAACAACTGATTCTCCTCTGGTGAAAAATATTGTGTTCTATTTAAATAAAGTTGTTAAGAAAATATAAATTATGTCCTAAATTTAATAAATATTTAATAATTCAAAATGTTCTGTAAATATAAACTTTTTAACATTTAAGTTGCTCACATATTTATTATATTATTTTTCTAAGAATTTATTAAAAATTGTTTAATTTTTTATCTTTAAAATGTATCTATTTGTAACAAGTATTTGTATAAATATTAATATTAAAATAACAGTCTTTTGCAAAAGGATACGGCAAAAGCTTGTTGCATTTAACAGAAAATAAAATCCAATTTTGTGTAACTGCTGGTATCTCATATAGATCCTTCGCTGCAGAAATGTCATTTTCTAATGCTTCATTGCCTGCTATCAGATGTGTAACATAATCACTAAAATAATTAGACCTCTCAGCCCCACCTTCTTGCAATAAATTCAAAATCTGTAAAAGTATTGCCTATGATTAACAAACAATAACATTTTCTAATAGTCAAGCATGTATAAATCTGAAATATTTCAATACTGTTGTCATTCCAAGTATTAAGAAATAAGTTACAGAAAAGGAAAACAGTCCAACGACAGGACGACATTAATGTGAAATGGTGTTCCAAATTATAACCTTCATTGGCAATCGAAGAACATCGGTTTCAAGTAGAAAAAAAGAACAGTATAGCTTTCACAAATATCGCGCAGTCAGCTGCGATAGCAGCGAATCTCATGGCTGTTCCATTCGTCGAGTGTTGGAGCATCGGCGGAACAAAAACGCGGGAAATGAACGAAAATTATAACGTACCTTCGGATCGCCTGCACCGCTGACGTAGTATTTCACATTGGCGAAGAGAGCACTGTCGAGCTTTAAGTCCTCGAGACCAGCCCTTATGTCACCCATTCTGTCGAAACTATTTCCCGGTAGACTCACGTCTTCGACATCACAATAGCGGCGTATACCGCGCGAAATTATGGATAGAGATATTATGACTCCGCAGTATTTGATAACAAAGATCTGTCGCGACGCGTTTGTTATTATTATGATTGCAGGTTATGTGCGGACTCTGCGTAGTGCTACGCTTAATCCGCACAGCGCATAGCACAGCTCGTAGAGGTAGATGTCGCATTATGGCGCATGATTTGAACGCAGAATTTACATGACATTTTCCTGAAAAACTAAACTGGATAATGTTGGTACTAACAAAAATCCCTAGGCAACATGATTTTTAATATTGGGTCATCTAAAAAGTATCCGCGGTACTTTGTCATTAGATATATGACCATCAACACACATCTAGTGACAAAAAACCGCGAATACTTTTTAGATGACCCAATAAATTAAAATCGTGTTGCCTAGAGGTTTTTTGTTAGTGCCAACATTTTCCAGTCTAATTTTTCGAGAAAATGTTATGTGACCTAAATTTGTATTAATTTTCAATTTTTTAATTGTATTATTTTTAAATAAATTTTCAATAAATTAATATATTATTATGATTTATTTTTTGATGAAATATATTCCATTTTTCACATTTATACAACTCTGATACATTTAAAAGGAGATAGAATACATTTAGACTGCGTTCCGTTGCACGTATAATGCATATGAAGTATCATTTTATCCTTATTTACAAAGTGTCAAACAAGGGCTGCGGTCGATTTGAACGCTCATGTGCTTTAATCATCATTCTGTCTTTATCGTTCATTAAGTTCATTATAAAAAAACCTGTAAAATTTACCAAAAGATGGAACACCGGCCCTTAATGTAAAATAAGAATAGAAGTATTGAAAAGCGCTGAAAGCGTCCAAATCGACCGCAACCAAAAATAAAATGATTCTGCAATGGAACACTGCCTATAATCTTAAGGTGCCGTCCCATAGAACGAAAATTGACAAAACAGAATTCGTGGAATCAATGAAAATACTATTTTTATTATTACAAGTATTGCAAATAACATAAAAAGTATGATTTTATATTATTCCGCGTGTTCCGCTTCCGCTAATTCCGTTCAATAGGACATAAATTTAGGAAAAGCGTAAAAAAGAAAACGGAATGGCTGTGATTCATCGTGTTGATTCCGCGAGTTCCGTTCTGTTGCCAATTTTCTATGAGACGGCACTCTTATATTATATTATCTTGCATTCTCGCTCATACATATGTACAAATCTTAATGGTCTTTTTCTTACTTTTTCTTAATTTGAATTTTTACTTACTTATAAAGAAATCTAGGAATCTACAATATTGAGCTTGGTCAGTATTCTCTTAGAACATATATACTGGAAGAGTCGACTAGAATTGGTGACTGTCGATGGCACCAGAATGTCTATCTGTCCTTGTCTGAATGCTTCATCGTAATGCGCATGCGTCGATTATGAATATCTATGTACATACGTTTAAACTTCAAAGCTCGCGAAACGAAAGCATATAAAATTGTTAAAAAATGGAATGTTATTGCGTTACATGTCTCAAAATATCAACGAAGCAAAATAAAATATCTCTTCGTGCGTAAGTATAATCTTACTTCGTAGATAATTTTAAACCAAGCTTTAAGATTATGTATTGAATTAATTTAAATTATATAAATATAAAAAATATATATGTATTTTAAGTGTCACAGCAAACAAGCATTCAGACAAAGACGGATAGAGACATCCATCCGTCTTTTACTACATTGATTACGGTATGACCTTTCCTTAAGTATGTATATTCTAAGTATACTTCCCATTAAGTTCTGTCATTTTTCTCTTTTTCTTTCCGAGTGCAGCTTTTTAGGAAGGTCGAATTGCTGCTACTTGAATGCAAGATTAATACTACATACGACACCTATAAATATTACAGATACATCTATAAATATTACATCAATATACGTTTAATCAAATTAAGATTGAGTTTTTTAATTAAATATGAATCAAAGCTAATGAGAATAAAAATTGTTATTAGTTATAAATATTTGTAATAAAATCATTTAACCAAGAAAAAAAAAGAAAAGGTGAAAGCTGAAGAAGGCAAGAGAACTTGTTTTATACATGTGAGCTAATATCTGCGCGATATAAGTAATAAATTATACAGGATCGCCGATCCATCGAGCTGGAAACCTATCATAGATACTAAAAATTAAATTAGACGAAATGGATTAAAAGTAAAAAAGGGAAGGATGAGAAACATCAATAACACCTTGCGAGATCGAATTATATCATAGTCTCGCTGCAGCTAGTCATGTTGTCGAAATATGACTGTATGTTTGGATAAGGATCGCGTTCGCAAAAAGCTGCACTACCACTGGACTCAGCCAGCGGATTGCATTCGTCGGAGCATATCGCGTTTCCGAGGTAACACGATGTTTCTAGAGTCTCATTAAGCTAAGAACCCGGGTTGGAACTATCGCCATTTCTTTGCTTTGCCTCAAGCTGCTTCGCCAACAAAGTGACCTCCCAATTGTTGTAGTCGTCTTGCCGCGCAGTCTTATCATCATCATCCTCATCATCATACTCTCTGTCTTCTTCATCGCTATCGCTCTTGGAAAAATAGATATCTAAATCTTCGTCCGATCTGCTGTCGCTATTCGATTCAAGTTCGATCGCCACGTCCTTCCGCAGTTTCTGAGGTACTATTGAGTTCGGCAGCTCCTGCAGTTCCAAAGTTTCTTTTTCCGAATGTTCCTCCCACGATCGTCTGCTGCTTGAACCGACGGACGAGAACGAGTGTCGATCGCGAGACCGCAATGACCCAAGAACAGTGTCCACAGAACCATCACGCATGAAGGGGTGATCCTCATCGTCGTCGAGGTCCTCCTCCATGGAAGCATCGTGCTCGGTGCTATCCCCACCGGAATCATCTGTTCTCCGCAATTTCTTTCGCTCCAGTTGCTGAATGTGTGACTGTAGCTGCGATATCATTTCGTCACGCTTACGTATTTCCAGTTCTAACGACGTGAACTTATCTTGTATATCTTCCTGCAACGTCAAAAGCGGTGGTATGATTAATTAAGATAGCGGGTCGTATGTCATACAGTAATAGGGAACTTCTGCAAGTGGAGTAGTTGGATAATTGATAAACGATGGGCTTGATAAACGTACATCTGGTGATGAGAAGTACCAAGTTCAGGATTTTGGGAAACATGCTTAAAACGGTGATGGGTTTAATTTTGCAGAATTACACGAGCGAGTACAGTCTTCTTTGCTTCACAAGAGCAGAAAATATAATAGCAGATCTAAAACAATTCAAAATTAAAAATAAATTATTAATAAGGGAAAAATATAAGCGTAAATTTATTTTCGCCGGTAAATTCCGTCGATTATTTGTACTGTCAATAAATATCGATATTGAAGAATGTTGTCGGGATGTCTCTCGCGAGAGCAGCCCTTTGATAAAGGCACTCCCACGTGATGACAGGGAGCGATACACAAAGCTCACCTATTGAAAGCAGGGACAAAGGAAACGGCTGGGTCGCGCTTCTCACTCACCAAGCCTGTCTTGATGACCTCGCCAACCCCATAGAGTAATTCGTCCAAGCACTCCTCCCGCGGCCAGGATGTCGTTTGTATCGAGACATCACCGGTACTGCTCACAGGACGGAAACTAAATTTATTGGGCGGCGGCAGTGACAGCTGATCCTGGGTGCTGGACAGCGGATAATTCGATTGTAAGAGCTGCTCGGACGGCGGGCTCTGCAGCGTGTACTTGTTGAAGGTCACACTCTTGGACAGCTTTGAGTGCCGCGCGGCGTAACCCTCGATCGTCGGCGCTCTCATTAGCTTTTTCAGTTCAGCGGCATTGCGATCAGGCGTACTCGTCGCAGAGGTCTCGGAACTGTCAGCCCTACTGCTGGCTGACAGTTTCTTCAGGATGCTCTTCAAGTTCTGCCTCTCGAGCGTTTCGTTCTCTGACGACAGTTGCTCCGGTGTCAGTGACGCCGATTCTTTTCGATCCTATTACAAAACGATAGAACGATTGAACAGTAACTAATTAAAACGATAAAAGTTGAGAAAAAGATTAAAAAGTTAATGATTTTTAATTTAACTTCGTTAATTTTAAATATATTAATTTTTAACTTTAGTTACTTTTAAATTTTAATTTACTAACTTTTTTAAATTACAAATGTTTCTATCCCCGTCATTTTTTTTATTAAGTCTTAAACATTAGAGAATTAATTTAGAAAAAGTTCAATGATTTTATGATTAGAGATTCTATAATAAGAGTCACACCATATAGCCAGTTTTTATTGACTCGCTAGATTTTATCAATTCCCGTTTATTTTGAATTACACTAATTTTAGGTATTATAAATATTATATTTCAGCAATATAAATTTGAAATCAGATAAAGAATTGATGTAAAATAGGACTGTACATCCATTTTATTTTCTAAATTTTTACATATATTTTTTGTCACAAATATCTAGATATAGCCGTAAACATACGTGAGCAGTCGTTTCAGATGTTAGATAAAGATTAAAGAAAAAGAAATGCAAATATATATTCTTTTCTCGCAAGATTTTGACGAAAATACGTTATGCTGTGATTCTTATTGTATGTATGTAAGTGTAACTTACATGTAAATAAAAAAATTAAATTTACCTAATAATCTATATTGTGTTATTTAAAGTAATCTCATTCCAAAAAAAAATTAGAATATTCTAATCTCAAAAATAATTTTTTTCAAAATGAACTTTTTTTAAACTTAATTTTAAGTTAATTCAATCTTAACTTAATTTTAATTAAATTTTTATTCCTTCAACTCTTAATTTAATTTTATTAATTTTGTAAACTGTTAACTTTAATTTAATTTAGTTTTAAAAAAACATTAACTTAGTTTTAAATTTAATTTAGTTTTAAAAAAACATTAACCCAACCATGCAAAACAAAATTCTAAATAAAAAAATTTGATATTAAACAATTATGCAATTATATCGTGTTTTAATTCCTTTTTCGTCGTTTAAACTCTTTTTTCGGCATTTTATTATATGTCTTGATTAATAATTCTTATCAAGAAATATAATAAATTATTATCAATGCATAGCATTTATTATTAAGAGTTATAAATTATTAATTATCGTTATTGTCGACGCATTATCTAAACTTCACAGAAAAGTTTCCTTTGCAGTTTGTAACATTTAATTGCATTTGTAAACAAAATATTTAATATTTTGTTTTAAGCAATATTGTATTGTTCCTTCCTCCGGAAGTCAAATTGGGACTTCTCCTTTTTTCTCAACAAACTAAATCTAAATAAATTTTATTTCATACTATTGATTTAATTTTTCATTCTATTTTTAAAAATACCGTTCAAAAGAAAGATTACAGAATTGTAGAGAATTGTCATAGTAAAGCAGATACTTGGTGGGTCCGGATAGCATTTATTATATTCTTGTAAATTTATACATAATTAACCTGTTCTTATCTATGAATCGGTTTTGTACTGTATAATCTACTGTACTTTATTTTACTACTATTTTATAAGTCTACTGTACTACTACTTTATAAGAGGAAATGAATTAGTTATAATATATATTCTATTATAGTTAATTCATTTCTTCTCTTATAAAGTATTTTCTAACAGTCGAAATCGGTGTCGGTCCGCAGTCGGTCCGCGTCGTCGCGTCGAAGACGGTTGACGTTGATCAGTGTCATCGTCGGGTAGCAATATTAAAAATAATGTATAGAAAATTTATTAAAAAATATATTTATAAAAAATTCATTACGTAAAAATCTACTTGCTTGATTATATTTAGCCAGCGTCCTGGTGTACTCGATGGCACAGGTCTCCGAGTGGCTTCTCGTGAGGTTGTTGTCAAATTTCGATTCGATGTTATCGCCGCAATCAAGGGATGAGCTCCTAGCCGCTTTCTCCAGTTCGACCAGCTTCTGCCTTTCGTTGAGGATTTTGAGCTTCTTAACAAATGGCAGATCGCAGTACTCTGGCGAGAGATCATCAATGGAAGCATACGTCTTAGTTTGCTGCAGTTTTTTGGCCGGTGAACTTTTCTGCGACGAATTACCCTTGGGAGTCAATGATGCATTTTTCAGCGTGGTCCAGGGATTGATCAGCTTGCACACAGTGCGTGTCTCAACCTGCGAGGTTTTGGTCACAGTAGTCAAAGCGACACTCTGACCATTCGAGGACGATTGCTCGTCCGATTGCGTGTTCGTTTCCTCGGGAATGGTGTTCTTAGGTAGCAGAGACTCCTTGGGCATTTCTCTCTCTATTTGAGTGGTCTCCTGCTCGGTTTTTAGCTGAAGTATCCTCTGCAAAAACGTCAAGTTCGGATTGGTGGGGTTCAAGGTCTCCGAAACTGGTGGTACATATGATTCTACCGTATTATTCGATGTATCCATCAAGTTACGCCGTTCCTCCCTCTCCTCCTTTTCTTTCAACAGCCTGAGCCTGGACAGCAGCGGAAGACCGGCGCCCAGCGGTGACACCGGCTGCTCCTGAGTATTAGACAAAGACAGGTCTTGACCGTCGTCAATCTTCTGCTGCCGTTTCAGCGTTGGCACCTTTGGCGCCAATGGCTGAAGCTCCAGGCTCTCTTCCGGCCGAGTGTTGCGTCTACTCTTCCGCAGGACGTTCTTCAGGCCTTTCACGTCACTCTTCAGCTTATCGACGATCCTCTTGCTGGTGCTGTTGTCGGACGAGTCATGACCGGGGGATGTAGATCGAAACGATTCCCGCACTAATCTTTGTGCTTCCAACAGTCTCTTTCGGCCGAGATTTTGCAGGATTTCTTGCGCTTCCGGATAGTCCGTCATCGCCGTCAGCACGTCCTCCCGCGATAGACTGAACAGTTCGGAGTAACCTACTGAACGAACGTCGGCTGTGCGTCTGAAAATTTTTTCGAATTTTCGACTTTAAGAATTTAGCTCTCATAAAATGTGAAATTAAGAAAACATAAAATTTTATGATTACAATTAAAATTATTTATAAAAAGGTAAATTCTTCAAAAATATTTCTTGCATTTCTAAAATTTCTCAGTCTTTTTTTTATAATTATTTATATGTGAAAAAGCAAATTTCTTTTACAGGGGGGAGGAGGCACTCGTGTAATTGTCTACTTCAACTTTACGAAATGAAAAGTGAATCTATTATAGATCTTGACACTCATACGCGGAAGCTTGACGGGCAGAAAAAGAACCAGAATAATTTTACTTACTTATTCAATCCGTCCAAATTGAGTATACCAATCTCGCCGAAGAAGTCCCCAGCTTTCATTGTCGTGAGTATTCTACCGTTTTCGCTGATTACTTCCAGTATACCGTCGGCTATTATGAACATCTCACGAGCAACCTCGCCCTTTCGACATATTGAATCGCCGGGCGTGAATATGTAGGCCTTCATCTTCAGAACGAGATCACGCAGAAATTCTGGTTGACATTCCTGCAAGACACCGATGATTCATCAAAGAAACTGTATATGGTGTCTCAACAAAATTAAGTAAATCTTTGATAATCAAATATAATTTGCCAACAATCTCTTGCAAATAGCATATAAAAGAGCTGAATAAAAATCTTGTGATACATTAATAACGCTTGCATAAATGACCTTATAATATTGATTCCTCTTCGAGAGCCTCTTCTAGAGCATCAAATTGTTTGTTTATTATTCTCAGATTCAATATTATACGTGCACAATTACACGCAATTAAATTCATATAGATTTCATTCTTTGGGAAATTGATATTTTCATCATCTCCTTCCCCACGTCACATAATTTCCTCTGGATAATAAAAGAGAGATTTCATTTCTAATACGGAACAGCCGTTACAGATTTTATTATATTGACGTTGGCGTTCGAAAGCAAAAATTTTGCTCGGCATTTCTAACTTCATAATCATTTTTAAATTTAAAGCTTCTACACCGTTTCTGTAAAAAAAAAAGACAATTTATGAAGACTTAAACATTAGCCTCGAGCTTTTATCGCATTTTCTATCTTGCGTGAATATATCCATATAATTTTAATCTTTACTTTTATAATAAATCTTCTGTTAATAATACAAAAAACTTTTTATTACCTTTTCTGATAAAATTAAACGATAAGTGAACTTTTCTGAAAAACATAACATTTATAATATATCTATATTTTTCTTTTAGAAATATTATCATATGAAATATCTCTCTCATTTTTTAATATACGAAATAAACAAATAAAATTTAAAATAGAGAAATTGTTAGCCTTAATAATAAAAAATTCTGAAAAATTAAATTCGATTTTAATAATAAAAAATTTTTCTAATAAGAAATTAAGACATTAAAGTGACATACAAGCTAGAAAAAAATGAGACTCTATTTATAATAATCATTTCATATCTCATTATATCAGTAAGGATATATCTGATACATTAATTTAAGTGTAATGCTATAATGAATGGCATTAACATCTTTTCAACCAGACGATTTAATAGATAAATTGGATCATCTACCACGCCTATTCCATGTTATCTGATATCCATGTCATGTCATTTGTCTCGTTTTTCAAGTAAAGTCGCAGAGTCATGGATTTACAAACCTGCAGCTATACGTTTATAATTTATAGTTTATAGTTTACGAATTTATCACAGTATATTTATATATTTCTACTTTAATTCACTAATATAATATAAATTGTCATAAATACGTACAATTTCGATGGCGTGTTAATTCTTTATAACACTCACACGGGAGATTTATATAATTTAAAATATAATAAATCTGGAGAGATTGAAATGAGTAAAGAAAGATGGATCAACGTTTGCGAGACTGCGACGAGTGACCTCTTTACGTTTTGCTCTTTTGCAGCCTTTGACAATCGCGAGGTAACAGTTGTAATTCTTCATGAGATACAATTCCTCTCTCGGCTACACCATGATACAAGGACTTTGTATCATGGGCTAGACCATGTCAGTTCTCAGAAACCTTCGCTAGAATCGATCTTCCACCGCGATATTTTATTCAATCGACAGTGCACATCATCGATTAGTGACGCGTTTCACACAGGCGTTTCCTTGCATCACCTGCTTTGATTTGTGACGAGAACACAACCGGAGATCTCAAGGCTGTTATCGACGATCATCGAAGCCGTCTAACTTTATTCAACCGATCTACAATGGGCCTCGTTAAAATGCAGTCAGAACGAATGCGTATATTGGCGCAAACACTACAACGGGGAAAAAAAAATACGGGGTGTCTGAATTGACGGCGCAAATTGGCATATTCTTCGGCCAGTTTAAAATCGATTCTTCCACGGTGAGAATATTTATATTTTTGAATTATCAACAATCAAATTTTTGAGAGACTTTTTTTTATTCACTCTAAATAAAAAAGGAATCGGAAATAAATATTAGGTGTTGGAATTAATTCGTAGCGTTTTTTAATGAAAGAATGTTATTTATTTCACATGAGCATTAAAAAATACATTAATGAAAGTACTTCCCATCTCTTGTAAAACGCTACGAATTAATTCCAACACCTAATAAAATGTATTTTTTATTAATCTCTTAAGTTTTATTCCTTAATAGAAATTTAATTTGTCTTAGGTTGAGAGAAATATTTAACAACATGGATAACGAAATGTAAGAATATTAATTTAAGATCAAAATATTTAATATTAGAAATTACGAATTGTAGAGAAAAATGTACAACCAATTTTCTAAAAACGTTTGTAAATCTAATAATAACTATGTAATTCCTAGAAGCAAAAAAATTTTATTAAGATTTTACAATATTTATTTTTTGATGGTATTAACCCGCATTGAGGACCGCTGATCGATTTTTCAACCAAAAATAAAAAGTCAACTTTGGGAAGTAGGCTCCTTAAAGGTATAGTAATTTGCCATTAAAAGGATTTTTCAAATTTTGAGAAAAAATATTTGTCTTGGTCTTTAATAGGTTAATCTATTTTCGATGAAATTTTTTTCTGCAGATAATTTTTATAAAAATGTTAGCAATAGTTTCGATAAAAATTTCGATAATAATCATTCGACGTATTTAATTTTTATAAAATTATCATCATTTTTCTGTTGAGTTTTTGCGAGATTTGTTAGGAAAATATGCACGTCCAAGAAGATTAAAGCATTATATATTCCTCGATATAATACTTAATGACTATCGTAGGAAAGCCGGGGTCGCATGTCGCAACGGGTGGGTTATCATAACTTTAATAATTCAACTGTTACGTGCGCTGTGAGTAAGCGAAGTCACTGTTGTACGAAAAGGATTTTCAGTAAGTTGTGTATGCAGACACGGTCGTTTGTGACGTCTTGTAAAAATGCACTCGCTATTTCACGTCAAAAAAATATTTTTTTTAATGTATAATGTATACGATGTATCTATATTATTGTATATTATACGTAAATATTATTGCACCCTGTTATATAAAAATATTACATTTTTGCCTAGTTTCACTGACATTAAGTGTATTACACTCAAGAAGACATAGAGAATTGATTAAACAGCTATTGATCTTTTATGATACACGTATAATCGTGAAAAAGTTTGAAAACATATTCACCTTTTTACATCTATGAAGTAATTAATCAGAAGCTATTTTTTATGCGCTCTGTAGGTTTGGGACGCAATGGGCAAATGAATCAATGAATAGTGATTACGAGACACCGCCAAGGGTAGTTCAGAGACGTTTCCTATTGAAACGGTCCGAGTGCGACCGCAATTAAAAATGGCACATAGACTCGCCAATTACAGGCAATCGTAATAGCACCTCGCGAAAATCTCTCTCTCTCTCTCTCTCTCTCTCTCTCTCTCTCTCTCTCTCTCTATTCGTTGGTCGCGCCGTCAATGCTGTATAATTCCCTTCTCGAATCGAGAAAGGGATGAATAAAAGGGATCCAAATGGATCACGCGGACTGAATCACCTGGTCGCTTTAAACTTGCAACTCGAGATCTCTTCGATCTAGATTCGTCGCACCGTGAACTTCATTACCTTCGCAGTGCAATGTATATTGTACTCACGAATCCAATCAAGAATAAATATGAGCTAGAGTGCAGTTAGCATCAGAAAAAGACGATCGCAATATCCAAGAACATATAAATGAAAAAGTTGATAGAAAAAAACGAATTGTCTATTGAAGATGTATTAATTTTTTATGCGATTATATTATATTATATTTATAATCATATTTTTTATTTGCGTTTGTGTTATATATTGTTACTCAATGATACTGCAAACGTTAAATAAAACTTTGATAATTGATCTGGCACGTAAATATCTCGTTTATTTCTGAGGAAGTATATCATAGTTGTGTAATTCCTAATTGGAAGAGAAAGCTAGAGTAGATTACCAATTTCAAGCTCAAAATTTCAGTTTTTTTCAATCTAGATTCGCACCAATTTCATTATCTCTACTATGCGGGCTTTTTCAAACCCACGCATTCAATTTAAAGGTAATTCTAACGATAGTGATTCCGGCTTGTATGCGGGTAACTTTTTAATCCTAGCTAATTGATTCACTACCAAAATTTATATATATATTGTGGAGAAAAGCGATATTCAGTTTATAATATAATTGACGTCAAACTTTGATCTTTAAATTTCTGAAAAATCAGTAAAAAATTTTTGACAGAAAGTTCAGCACGTTTTATTAGGTGTTGGAATTAATTCGTAGCGTTTTACAAGTGATGGGAAGTACTTTCATTAATGTATTTTTTAATGCTCATGTGAAATAAATAACATTCTATCATTAAAAACGCTACGAATTAATTCCAACACCTAATATAATTCCATACATCCTTAAATTCCGAATTTAATTAGTCGACATTTCTCTCGTAAGACATGTCTTTTCGCATTTTTAGTATACACCTTTCTTTCATTTTTAAAACTTCTATAGATTAAGAGCTAAATGATCCATAGCGCACTTCATCAAACTTATCGCGAACTTGGCACACATAAAACCTTAAATTAGAAAACTGCTTATAAGGAGCATTTAAGATAAATGTTGAATGGTTTAAATCGTTTATTGTATGAATCAATATTTTTATATATTGCAAAATAACATAGATAAAAAAATCAATTAATTTTGGTCAATATGTTGCTAGTGCAACATGCTGCCTATACACATTGTACCAAAAAAAAATATTATATCTTTATTTATATTAATTATTTATAGTTTAGTTTGTGTTTTTTTTTAAATCTCAACGCTTGATAGAATCAAATCCCGTCTATGATTTTATAAATCCGAATCGAATTTTTCAATTTTGTTTGTCAAAGATGCCCTTTTTTGATTTGTGACTTTTTTTTCCCAAGGTGCGCGATATTATCATTCGTATTGTCTACGAAGAGTTATGAAAAAGATTTACTCTGATAGAACACTTTAAACGTGCTATTGTGAAGCAAGTTAGTTGCTCTAAATGAATAAAGGGATCGAGCGAGAAAATAGATTGGAGAACC